TGGGAAAAATTGATGATCAAATTCATTGAAGGAAAGTGTAATGCCATGGATTATCTGATTGATCTGAACACATTTCTACCTTTTTGTGAAAACTTTTTCACAGGAGAAATGGTTTTGACAGCAAGTAATGCTGCAATCCATACAGCTGGCATAGTTAGGCATTACTTTCAAGAGAATAAAGTTTCCATAATTAATTAGCCAGCTCATTGTCCTGACTTGGACATTATAGAAAATGTTTGGTTTTTAATGGAACAGAAAATTTATGAACATGGACGGTTTAATTCTCATGAAGAGTTAAAGTTTCAACATTGTGCTGATAATTTTGATGAAAATATTATTGTATATCCTTATAAATCAATTCTTTCTAGGTTGTTAAATGTTGCAGAGAAAAAATGGCAGTGTAACAAGTTATTAATTGTTAACTTAGTATGTATAATTTTCTGTGTCTTTAGGGAAGTAAAAATGTTCTAAAAACTTTTGTCCACTTGTCTTCTTTAAAAACTGGAATAAATATCAAATTCCAACACATCTCACTTTGAAATTCTGTTGACTTATAATAATAAATTAACCAAAACCCAAAAAAATAATTTTTTGGGATACATGTTCCGGATATGATCTAATATATAGATCATATCTGGATAATATAATGGAGTGGGAAAAAAAATTAGAAATTTTGCTATTACACTATCAGAACATATAAATTCAAAATTCACGTTTATAAAAAGAAGTTTTTAAAATTCCAAATGAAATTATTTGAAAAATATAAACAAAATGAAAAGAAATACTTAATATATTTTAGGATTAAAAATTAAATTTTTTTATTTTATGAAAATTAGTATGAAGTTTTGAGTAGTGGAACTTATTTAACTAAACAATATTTGAAAAATAAAATATATTTGTAATGAGTTTTTATATTAACTCAAAACATTTTATAATAAAAGGTGTAAGAAATTTTATTGGAATAAAAATTAGAAAGGTAAGTTTATTCTAAGAAGTTGCATTTTCAAAAAGTTTATAACAAATTAATTTAATGTTATATTTTTAATTTCTTATGTTGAAACTATAATCTATATATAAGCTAATACTATTTCTTGATTTTTATTACTTAAATGAAAATGCAATAAAATAGATAACAAAACAATTTTCACATTAATTTAAATTTTGCTTAACTTCAAAGTTAAGCAAAATAAGTAAATACTCTTAGTAGGTCATTTTTTTTATTTCTTAATTAGGCTTTTTCTGTTAGCATTCTATAGAAGGGAATACATTTTAAATCATCTATTCTTTGGAATGTTTTTAACATATAAATTAAAATAACAGTGCACAAAATATTTTACAACAAATAGAATACATACAAACAAATTTTTAAAAGTTACAAAAAATATTAAACACTTCTTTGAAATGAATATACATTGCATAGCCAACAACAAATAAATTAAATCATCATTAAAACAAAGATCATCATATAGATTCAAGAAAGTAAAGTATTAACAGATTGTCTACATATTTCATCAGTTGGATGTGTTTGAAATCCACACAAAAACTACTTTTGAATATTGTCTGTCAGGTTAATGGCTGTCTTATCTGTAGAACTGTCTTTCTTATGCTTGACAAATCTTTATCTGAGGACTCTGGATGTAACATTAATGTAGTAGAAACAGATGTTTTCCAGACTATAAACTCCTGACACTTTCTAGGTGTCCCATATTATTACAGTTTTTCTTGATATTACTGTATTTGAGAAGTAACAGTTGGTTTGTTAGAATAACTTTTCAGATTACAAATATGTAATCTTGTCTGAAATTGGCAAGACCTTTTAGTAGCATGTATGGTGGAACTTGCTTTAGCACAGAATGATTGTGATGAAAGTATATAGTTTTTCTAAAAACTTTCTGCAGAAAGAACTCTTGCATCTCGTTTCTAACACTTTAGTTTAGATATTTTACAGTCTCTATCTAACAATATTTTTAATGACTTATCTCATTGTTTCTTCTCATTTGAAGCATCTGCAAGCAATTTATTTTCTTATATGGAGAGCTAGGACACGTTTATTCTCCAAAACTAAAAAAAAAATACTGTTAGGTAGGGACTGCAAAATATCTAAACTAAAGTGTTAGAAACGAGATGCAAGAGTTCTTTCTGCAGAAAGTTTTTAGAAAAACTATATACTTTCATCACAATCATTCTGTGCTAAAGCAAGTTCCACCATACATGCTACTAAAAAGTCTTGCCAATTTCAGACAAGATTACATATTTGTAATCTGAAAAGTTATTCTAACAAACCAACTGTTACTTCTCAAATACAGTAATATCAAGAAAAACTGTAATAATATGGGACACCTAGAAAATGTCAGGAGTTTATAGTCTGGAAAACATCTGTTTCTACTACATTAATGTTACATCCAGAGTCCTCAGATAAAGATTTGTCAAGCATAAGAATGACAGTTCTACAGATAAGACAGCCATTAACCTGACAGACAATATTCAAAAGTAGTTTTTGTGTGGATTTCAAACACATCCAACTGATGAAATATGTAGACAATCTGTTAATACTTTACTTTCTTGAATCTATATGATGATCTTTGTTTTAATGATGATTTAATTTATTTGTTGTTGGCTATGCAATGTATATTCATTTCAAAGAAGTGTTTAATATTTTTTGTAACTTTTAAAAATTTGTTTGTATGTATTCTATTTGTTGTAAAATATTTTGTGCACTGTTATTTTAATTTATATGTTAAAAACATTCCAAAGAATAGATGATTTAAAATGTATTCCCTTCTATAGAATGCTAACAGAAAAAGCCTAATTAAGAAATAAAAAAAATGACCTACTAAGAATATTTACTTATTTTGAGTAACTTTTACAGTAATTTAAATTATTTAAAGTTGTTTTGTTATCAATATCATATCAAAAGTAATGTGCAGTAGAAGGCTTTACTTAGTTAATTAGTAACTTTTAATGTAAATCAACTATTTAAAATTAGAACTTGAAATTATGAAAACTTATTTAGTTAATCTTACTTTTACATCACTCAAAGTACTTAAATCTGATATCATATCATCTGAAAAAGAATAAATTTAATATCTCTTATTTTATAGAAAAATCAATAATTTGGTAGTATTTATTATTAGTAGCATTATTTGTATTTATAATATTTTATTGGGTCTACCGGAAAGTTCTGTCTATTTTTGAATTAAAAGAAAATAATACATTTTTAATAGAGTTATTAATATTTACTGAACAATATAATTTCCATTGTTACTAATGACCTCTTCCCAGCATGATGGTAATTTGTGGATTCCATTTTTATAGAATGTTTTATCTTTGGAAACAAAAAACTCAAGCAGTGCTTGGCTGACTCTGCTTAATTTTTGAATATTTTTCTTTTCAAAAAATTTTGCAGGGAGAGAAACAGATGATAATTGGATGGGGAGATATGACAGAATTTCCCAGCCTACTTCTGCAATTTTCTGGCTAGTTGCCAAAGCAGCATTTGACCTGGCATTTGTCATGGTACAGTATGATTTGCTTCCGATTGATCAGCACCAGTCTCTTTTCCTTGAGTGCATTGTTCAAATCATCCATTTGTCAACAATACATTTCTGAATTGAGTCATTCTTTGGGTTTGAGAAGTTCATAGTGTATTGTTCCTTTGATGTCCTGCCATATATGCAGCATTCTCTTAAGGCACAAGCTCAGTTTCAAGGTGGAGGGGGTAGGTTGTCTGGGCTCACAGTATGCTCTTTTTCTCACATTATTCTCATATGTAATCCACTTTTCATCACTGGTTATCATCCAGTCTAAGAAATGTTTGTTTTTGTTCCAAGCAAGCAGAGATGTGCAAATGACGACTCAGTCATGTAAATTTTTTTCACTTAGCTTATCTGGAATATTTATACACCAAATCAAGTTTCCAGATATGGTCCGAAATGATTTGTTCTGTTGAGTTGAGCTTTTCCAATCTCCAATACTGTCAAAAAAGGATCTTGCTGTATAATGGTCCTAACAATATCATTATTGATTAGAGATGGTCTCCCAGTGTGTGGCTTGTCATTAAGGTCAAAATAGCCTGCTTCAAATTTTTTGAACCATCTCCTGCACATTCTGTCAGAAACTGTATCTTCACCAAAAACATTCACAAAATTTCTGTATGCTTTTGTAGCATTTCTACCTTGTTGGAATTCATACAGAATGCAATGTCATAAACTTTATCAATAGGCATGTTTATGCAAACAAATCTCACTTAATACTGAGATGATGAAACCATTGTTTCAGTAAATTTAGAAGAGCACATATGTAGAAATATAATGGTAAAAAGAGGTAGTGTGTTTGTTTGAAACACATATGAGCATGTTTCAAACAAACACATTCATACGTATTGAAACTTGGTGTGTCAAAATTGGATAGAACTTTCCCGTAGACTTAAATATATTATTTATTCTGTTTGTATTTTATTTATATTTCTTATTGATTTATCTTTTCAACCATTACTGTATGCTCATTTCAAACTGTTTTTATTCTACATGTTTTAATTTTTAAATTGGGCATTCTATTTTGCATTCTTTTTAATGTATCCTGATGATAGCTACAGGAACAGCTGCAAACATTTGAAAAAAACGAATACTTCTAGTAAAGACTTATTTGGACAATTTTGTACAAATTTTGTAAACTGGTTTTGAATTGTAGTAAAATAATAATAATAATAATAAATAAATAACCAAAACCATAGTTTAGTTCAAATGCTTTCAACTTCAAAGAAAACTTTAAAACAGTGTACAAGTTGACCCCCCTATAACACTGTTGAATTTTCTGTATTATATGAATTTCATGTTGTACGAGTCACTTAGATTATACAAATACATGAGCCGTTCACCCCCCAGCACGTGTATTTGTAAAATCTAAGTGACTCGTACAATATGAAATTCATATAAAACGGAAAAATCAACAGTGTTATAGGGGGTCGACAAAAATTATAAATAGTTATCAAACTTCCAAATCAAAAGATTGCAATTTATTCCTGAAGATGAATTTTATAAACCTGAAAGTATTTCTGCTGAGCTGAAGTATTGGTTTTCCTTCAATAAAGTAAGTTAAAAAATTTATTATTTGGCTTAATAAAAATAATTTATAAACTCAATTTTTTTTAATATTTTAGTGCTTTATACTGATTATTTTTTAAAATATTGAACATTTAGCTTGTAACATTGAAGCTTGCTAGTAAGTTATTTACTAATTGAAAATATATTTAATACTTAGTAGGAACCAAGTATGTCTATAGAAGTCTGATTATATATATTTATTTATTTTTAATATGTAAATTTAAAAATTAATTATAATTATTTTAATTCCTTAAAATAAAATTTTATTAAATTTATTAGTTAGTTGTGAAATATTTATGTAATTGTTTCTTTTTGATTCTGGAATGAATTTTAAGTCACATCAGTTTTACTTCAAAATGTATTTTTAAAAAAAAAAAAGTAATTAAAAACTTTGAATATATTTACATTGACTTTTCTATTCTTATTAGTAAAATGTTTTTATTTGTTATATAAAATTAGATATTATTTAATGTTTAATCAAAAATTTTGTGTTTTATTATTAATACATTACTATAATTTATCTTGATTGGTATTCAAAAATTTTTGAAATTACAAAGTTTTTTTATTGCATAATTAAGCAGTTAAGAAAATTGTTTTATTTTTAATGAATTGCCATTTATTATTAAGTGTTCTTTTATTATTTTATTTGAAAAAAAATTTAATAAAATAAAAAATCATTAGCGTTTCTATTTGTTTCATCACAATTTAAAACTTCAAATATTAGAAAGTTGATAAATGAATAAATGAAAATTTATAAATAAAAATAAATATTATTCAAATATGAATGCTGCAACAATACTACATTTATTGTAATGTTTCTTGATTGTTTTTTCATGTACATTTATGAAAATATTCTTCTGTAAACATCATAGAAATGATTTAAAATAGACATACTATATTGAAACAAATAATCTAGAATTTAAAACAGTGTAAAAGATATACAATTTAAAAAAATAGTTAAAACTCATCTTAGATAATATATTTAACAAACGTACACACAAAAAATTAGTATTTAAAATAAAAACAGTATTTAGAGATAATAATTTTATATTATTCTTTATTAATAATAAAGTATATACTAGTAATTATTTAATTATGGGATAAATCTGTAAATATAATTTTTTTCTGATAATTTCTAACAAAAATTAATAAATCGGATGTTTTAGATTAAAGTTTTCATTTTATGCTATACTTAACATATAAAACTAACTTCAACAAAATATTAAAACTCATAAACATCCTACTCTTTCAGCAATAATTCCTTATTGAACTAATATTTTCAGATTCATTCACAGACCTTCATCGGGTTCAAAATGAAATATGGAATGTTCTTCATAACAAACATTCAAATGCAAGAATATTACAAATGAACAAGCTAAAATTATTGTGACATCATCACGATGACAGGCTGCAATTTTTAATCATATTCTTTATTTAATTTAACTCTTTTCTTAATATCTTTTTAACATGAAATTGGCCTTATTCATTCAAAGCTAAATCAGCCAATGGAAAAGTTGTTTGACAGGTTTTTCTATACAAGTTCCTCTTGTAGCCTGAGGGGTAAAAACAATTTAGCCTTTAGATACAAGAATAGAAAACATTTTCAGAGTTTAATTAAAGTTAAAATGTGTGTTCTCAATCTCAAATTAGTAGTCTTGTCCCTGTACATCATACTTTTCCTGACAAAAACAGTCATGCCGGTCATCTATGTAATCCCATTCAGGGGAAATCTTTGAACTGAAATCACGTGACTTCCAGTCTAGAGTGGAAGTTCATGTACTGTATAGTTAATCAGGGTCTCCTGCCCCTAAGCTTTTCATATCTGATCTTGACTTTAATCTAACATCATTCTTGAGATTAAGGAAGAATAGAAAAACAACAGATGGCTGTCAGTGGAAATTTATAGATCTACAATTTTTTCAAATTGCAGCCCAGTTAACAAACTTTAAAAATTTAGAATGCATTTAAACTGGTGTTCTATTGTTAAATATTAGTTCAGTAAAAAAATTAATGTTGGAAGGATGAACTTGTATGTGAATTTTGTTATGTTATAGCTATACTATTGAAGTTTAATGGAATTCAAATAAAAAGTAGAATATATATTTAATATAATTTTCGCATGAATTAAAACCTGAGAATTTTATTTTATTTATACTTTCTAAAATGAAATAAATGAAAAATACAAAGAAACATATTCCATCAATAATTTGCAGTTTAAAAAATAAATGTTTTAATAATAATCATTATTATAAAAAAAAAACTATTGACATTCTCAAGAACTTCATTTATAATTGATATAACTTAAGTCATTTAAAAATCAATTGCTTTGAATCATGTTTATTTATTTTTTTAATTTATTTAGTAGTAACACATAAAGTAATTGCTTCAGTGGATACACAATCTTATACAATCTTGTATAGCAGCACAAATTTTATTAATGTTTTTGGTCACATTCAACAACCTTCATCAGGTTAGTTTACTAAAAACTTGTGTGATGCTATACAAAGTTGTATGAGATTATTTAGTAACATTGTGATTATTTAATCTCAAAAATATATTTTGACTAGATTGATTAATTTGGTTTCTTCACATATTGATGATTATTCATTATAGCAAGAATCGAAGGAGTGAGTTTAATGTGTAGAATAGTCTTTAATATTAATTCAAAACAATAATACTAGATAGAATTTAGATTGTTTATACGAGAACATTAGTTTTTAAACTGTGTTAGAACTTCTGTTCTTTAGAATAAAGAAAATATCTTAAGAAAAAATAATCAGAATATAATATAAAACAACAGTAGATGGACTTAGAAGTATTTTAAAATTCATATATAGTTTACTTTGTCAATCTAATAATAATTGAACATTTCCAGTTATTTCATTGAAATTAGATTGGATCTTTGTATAGTTTATTCTATAATACTCTTAAGTAGAAAAATTAATTATATTATTTCATTAATGTATTTAGCTGTATTCTTTATAAAGTATTCTAAAGATTTAGGATAAATAATAAAATGATTAAGTGTTATATATTTTATGTATAAAAATTTTTAAAGTACATTGTTGATCTGCAGTGATAATAATGATGAGGCTATATTCAAATAAATTCTAATCATCTTTCAAATTGAAATTACTGATAACTGCAGTTCAAAACAAGTTTGTTTTAGTTGTGGTTAGTGATGCATTACAGCTTATTACAATTAGATATTACAACTAAGGGATTTATTCTTAACACTTTAACAGCCTATGTCTTCAAAAAGTATTTTTCAAACAATTAATAATTAATAGTGTAATTGTGAAGATTGAAGTTGTATGATAAATTAGAAACTTTTTTATAATGCTTTCAGACATTAAAGTAAATTGATTTTAGGAGATAAAAATAATTTTTACTGTTAAATAATGACTAATTCTTTTTTATACTGACATCAGTCAATCTGTCACCTCTCTTAAAGTTATTAGTATGCAATGCAGTCATTAAAATGTAATTTAATTTTTTTAATGAAATTTTGAACAGGAATATCTCAAATTTTGCAACAAGTATAGTGTATTATTTTTCAATTTTCTGTTAATTCATCCAGAAGTATTTTTTTTAAATGGATTATAAGATCATGTGTAATGCAGGATGACATAAACTTTGCAAGTAGGAATTAAAAGTATACAGTACTTTGAAAACAAGTATGTATTTCAGTTTTAAATTTGATATTTCTAATATTAAATCTTGCATTAAAAAATCATTTTGTCTAAAAGTTATTTTTAATTTATCATCTTAATTATTTACCAATAAATAAATAAAATAAAGTTATTTTGTTATTTTTATACCATATACAGGAAACTCTGATTTTGGGGAGAAACACAAAAAACTTTTCATACATTAGAAGATAGAAAATTTTTTAGTTATTAGACCAAACATTTCATATTTATACACTGATTGAAGATTTACACAAAACTGTATGAAATTTTCCAGTAATACATCATAAGCATTGAAATATTTTTTGTTTTCAACAAATTAATTTTTTACATTTTAAGAGGTGTATAACTGAATTCTCTTTTTGACATTCTAAGTTTTACTATCAGATTTTTATTTTAAAAATTTCAAATAAATTATATAGATTCAAATTATTTTTAAAAATCTTATTACTTATTATAATTGAATCAAAATATAAATAATCTTCGAATTACATTTTTGAAAATGGTGTACTGTACAATTACTTCTCACTTAACAACCACTTGGACTTATGACCAGCTCTCCAGTGCATGGAGAGTCCCCTTTCTTAATCTTAGACCAGTTCCGCAGTTTATCAGTATTCACCATATGATGCATTCCCAACCTCCAAGACCACATATTTTGTTTATAATGGTACTTTGTTGTGCATCCCATTTGAAGGATTCGATGACTAAAGTATTAATCTGAATGTCTTTTTTTTGTGAATGAACTGTAATGTTCTTGGTGTCATTTCTATAATTTTTGCCGATTGTATTTTTATGTTCTTTAATATGTTAGAGATAAAAATTAAAATGAAGTTATTGAATTGGAGCTTGTATTAGACCTTTTCTTTATCTAGAATGAATAAAAATGATTAAGTTCCTTGTTTAACGACTTAGTTGTAGGAATGGAACTCTGTCATTGAGTGAGGAGTGGCTGTATATCCATTTGCACTCAGAAGAATGTTAACAAAAATGTTACAGAGTCAATGGTTCTTAATCAGTGGTTCTTGGGCTTGTAAGGCTGTGCATTTCTATATAACTGATTTCTTTTGTAATTTTATTTTAAGCATTTAAAAATAGTATCTCAAGAATGGGTCTATGACTTTCACCTGACTGGAAAAGGGTCCATGGAAGAAACGAGGTTAAGAACATCTGTTCTAAGTAATTACTTGATAAATTTAGTTATTTCCAATCATAAACATTTAGTAATTTCAAAGTAGCTTTACATCACTTTGAAATTAAATAGGTCACATCATTTTTCAACAATTCATTCAGTTCAAGTTCATTATTATTATTATTTTTAAATAAAAGTTATGAATTTTCATAAAATGATTTAGATATTTTATTTTCTGAAAGATTTTGTTCTAGAAACTTTAACAGTTTCTGATATACTTGAATTTTAATACATTAACTCCTTTGATATCCATTATTTTTTGTATGAAATAATTATTTCGGCTTAAACGCGAATCTAACATCCAAAAAAAATTTCCGGGAAATAATTCCCGAGAAATAAAAACTCCTCCAAAAAGTTTTTTTACAAAAAAAGTATATAAAAAAATAATAATCATTTAAAATAAATACTTTTATTTGAGAAATATAGCTGTAAGGATTGTTATTATTTCGTTTAACAAGGCGTGAAATTTCACACGTGCAGTCTACATTGTTTACAAACTGGTTGACCTTGAGAACAGCTGGAGTCAGCTTTCCCGGGTAGTTCTGTACGCTTCAGGGGAATATTGGTCTAAAGCAGGAGGGAAGATAACTTGCCGCATCTGTTCAAATATAACACAATACAGTAATACACCGAACTTACGCGATAAGTGGGACCGAGCGATAACCGCGTAAGTCGGGGTATAATTTCGCAATGTGTGTAAAATCCAAGTCGGATGTATGTAAGCTAATAAATGTTCTCGTTAATCTTATCTCATCTTTTGATTCGTTCACGGTTACAATAAGTCACCACATAGAGTCTCTCGAGTCTCCGTAGATATAACAAACACAGAAATAAATAACACAAAATAAACTGGAGCTATGTGTCGATTCGGCGCGACACGTCCGAACATGTAAGCTAAACAATAGTGTGGGGGGAGTGATAATCAAGAGTTGCGTGGCGCTCAAACAAAAGACGAATCGACGAGATTTGAAAATCGCGTAATTCCGGGTTCGCGTAAGTCGGGGTATTACTGTATTGTCGATTTTAATGCTATTAAATTACGAGGGAACCGAAAAAAAGGTATGAGGAAAAATTCTACTGAACAAAAAACAAAAAAAAACCTGCTGATGTCATAAAAAAACGTTCAATAGCGTTTTAAAAAATTTTACCGAAGTCAAATCAGTGAAATAGAAGTTTAGAACGATTTAATTAATTTTATTAAAAATCTCCCATAAAAAACAATAGCGCGATTAATTACCTAATTAATAAATCATCATAAAATATTTTCGCGGCAAAAATAATTATGAAATTTGCACAGATCATAGATAACGATGTATATATGCTGATCCATACATTTTCGGAAAAGTTATAAGTCAAATCTTTTTAATTAATGGACCCTTAAAGTCCATGTCCGAGTTAACTCGGGATGTGGGCTTAAGGGGTTTTAGAAGTTTATTTGATTTCTTTAAGAAAATCAAATTTTTTTATTGTGGTGAATTTAAGTTAATAAAAATCAAATAATGAGAAATTTCTTTTAAATACTTATAATTTTACACATTACTATATTGATATACAGTAGAACCTCCATTATCCGGACCTCCATTATCCGGATTTTCGATTATCCGGATTGTTCAAAATAAACAAAAATTTTACGACTTTGCTGATTTGCACTTGGCGAATTACAACACTGTTTATGTACGTGATGGAATGCATAACTTTTTTTGTTTCATCAACGTCTCACCCAGCACAGTGGTCATAAACTCTTAATATATTTTACGTAGTAATAAAAATATAACTTGACATACGTATTTATAAATAATTTATATTCAAATTACATCATTTCTATGACCAAGGGCGGCGTAAGGCATGGACGACGTGGGCCACCGCCTATGCCTCGCGGTCCGAAGGGCCTCGCGCCTCGAAGGTTTATGCATTACTTAAAAGCCGCGAACGCGACGAAAAAATTTTACTCGTCATAAAACGATAAATAGTTTGTCAAATTTTTATTCATAAAAATGCAGTTTCAACTGCTTTTTATTTTATAAAATCCGTCTTCTTGCGCCACCAGAGGGCCTTTTAAACAATAGGTAGTCTGTTAGCGTTGGTCAGTAGTAGTCCAAATTCAATACGAACGTTTGTTTCTTGAAAATTTGATCACGATTTAAATACAGTATTTACTTTTAATATTACCGATATGTCATCGAAAAGAAAACGTGTTGTATTATCATTAAAAGACAAATTAAAGTATTTGTTTCGATTATCCGGATTTTTCCTTATCCGGACTACCTTCATCCCTAATTAGTCCGGATAATCGAGGTTCTACTGTATAAATTTGAAGAATTCTCAAAGTATTTTAAGTTGCACAAGGACAAAAATATCTATAAAAATCTAGAAAAAAAAACCCAATTTTCAATGATACATACAGTCATAAATGTAATTAAAACGAGCAATTATTGTGACATTGTCACAATGCCAGGCTGCAATTTTTAATTTAAAAATTTTTTATGATCTCCATCTGAAATTAAGAGTAGCTTGCCGTTGTTTATCATACTTCCCCTGTTAGCAATAGAGTCGTGCCAGTCATCAACATCTTTCACGAGAGAATTTTTTAACTGAAATAACGTGACTTTCGGTTAACATTGGAAGTTCATACAGTATATAGTTAATCGGGGGTTTGCTGTCCGTTGCGTTCCATATCTGGTCACGGATTTTATCTATGTAACTCCGTTCTCTAGATTAAGAAAGAACAGACAACGGATGGACAACAGTGGGAATTTATAGGCCGACAATTTTTTCATATTGCAGCCCAACAAACAGAGCAATTATACAACGTGTGCAGTGGATGAACCAAGTATTTTTATCTTTGTGCATTCCTTTATATACTGTTTGCAGTTTCTGCCACACTTCGTAGTATCTGCAAACTTACTGGCATCTTTCCTTATCAGACAATCGTACATTCCAAATTATTCATAATTGATAACTGACATTTACCCATCGGTAAATGTTTTATGCATATCACCCGTAATTGTTAGTTGATCTCAATACAGTAATTTAAATTGCTGGAATTTCTTAGTTCAACAACGATTATACAATGTAATATTGATTAGTAATAATTATAATTAATAAACCTTCAAGTTATATTTTTGTGTTCTTTTAATATCAGCACTAAAAGGACATTTTAGAATTTCCATTAATTGTAGTCTTATTTACCCGTTTTAACGTTACTTTTGGATTGTCGTGATAAGTATAGGCGAGTCTCAAATTGATTACAACAAGCGGATTCTGCCGATGAATAATATTTCGTTTAAAGATTGGACATTTTAGTGTATAAGATCTTTGAATTGCTTCCTACAATTTCATAGTTTTATACATTTTAATTCTACTCTTACAATTTTAATTTATGTTTGTGTATGTGTGCATTGAATGTTTCTATGAAAATGTAACAGCATCTATTTACTCAATTAATACTTTTTGCCAAAAATTAAAAACCTGATCTGTTCAGTAAATATATCGTTTAACTATTATTATATATAAAAATAATAATAATTTCCGCTGAACTTTAATACATAAGCATTAAATATAATGAAAAAAATCTTTTCATACAATTTTGATGTGTTTCGGATTCGTTGATGTAATAAAACATTTTTATTATTATTCCACAGCATTGTTAATTTAACAAAACTAATTTTTGCAAACCTACATCTAATAATACCAACGTATAAAATGGCTTTATATGAGTCCGATCTCCGTGAGAATCTTAACCAATTAATTGTGGAACATTTAGAAGATGACAATTCTATTGTAAGATTGTCTCCTACAAAAATGCAGACACTCGGCATTTTCCGATATGTACGTTTAAAAGGCAGGAATGGAAGAAAAACGGTTTGCACAGCCTTGGTAGATTCAACCTGTCCAACGGCTATCATCAGAATGAACGAACATGTAAGAAAAAATTTACGAGTCAAAGAGGGAGATAGCATCAGAATTTATACCATAAATAATATTGATTATGGAAAAAGAATTCATGTTCTTCCGATCGAAGATACAATCCCGACAGTGAATTGTCATCTTTTCGACGATTATCTTAAACCATACTTTCACGGAGCATATAGACCAGTATATAAAGGAGACTTACTTCTCATTAAAGGCCCTCGAGGTAATGTCGAGTTTAAAACAATTGCGGTCGATCCCGATCCCTTTTGTATCGTCGCGCCGAAAACTATCGTATATTACGAAGGAAATGCAATCTTAAAAGCAGACATAGAAAAAGAAATGAATGCTATTGGATATGACGATATCGGTGGCTACAGTTCCCAACTATTACAAATTAGAGAAGTAGTTGAATTATCTTTAANAAAATGACAATAATAAAGCTTCAAGTTATATTTTTAACTAGCAGATGAGCCTGACGTTTCCCGGGCAAAAAACACCACCACCGAAGATTAAGATTCGCCGAAAACTATCGTATATTACGAAGGAAATGCAATCTTAAAAGCAGACATAGAAAAAGAAATGAATGCTATTGGATATGACGATATCGGTGGCTACAGTTCCCAACTATTACAAATTAGAGAAGTAGTTGAATTATCTTTAAAATATCCAACTATATTTAACAACATGGGAATTAAACCGCCGCGAGGTGTTTTAATGTACGGACCACCAGGAACCGGAAAAACTTTGATGGCTAAAGCAATAGCTAATGAATCGGGAGCACACTTTTCGTTAATAAACGGTGTTGAAATCCTAAGCGAATTTTCTGGGGAATCGGAGAATAATCTTCGATTGATATTTGCTGATGCCGAAAAGCACGCTCCGGCAATTATATTCATTGACGAGATAGATGCTATTGCACCAAACAGAAACAAAGTCGAGGGACAAGAGGAAAAACGAATTGTGTCCCAATTTCTCACATTATTGGACGGTGTGATGGAAATGAATGGGATGGCTGTAATTGCTGCCACAAATTGCCTGAATAATATCGATCCTGCTCTACGTCGAAGCGGAAGATTCGATCGTGAAATATACTTTGGAATTCCGCAAGTAAATGAGAGATTAGAAATTCTTCGTATCTCAACAAGAAGAATGAAGTTGGCCGAAGACGTTAACATAGAAGAGCTGGCCAGAGAAACGCGTGGATTCGTTGGTGCGGATATTCACTCTGTCTGCAGAGAAGCCTTATTCCATCAAATAAGAGAAAAGATATGTCTCGATGACGTAGAGGACGGAATAACAGATGAGATTATAAATTCTCTGAACGTAACAATGAGTAATTTTAGATGTGTTTTAAAGAATATTTGCCCAAATGTTCTGCGAGGATGCTTAGTTGAAAATCCTAACATATCTTGGGAAGATATTGGAGGTTTAGATGATGTTAAGAGAGAATTGCAAGAATTAATCGAATATCCGGTAAAATTCGCCGATAAATTCTTAAGATACGGATTGTCACCTGCTCGAGGATTTCTCCTATTTGGACCTCCGGGATGCGGAAAGACCCTTTCGGCCAAAGCGATGGTTTCCAGTTGTGCAGTCAATTTCATCTGCATTAACGGACCGGAGCTTTTGAGCAAATGGTTTGGAGAAACAGAAGCCAACGTGAGAGAGGTCTTCGACAAAGCTAGAAGAGCTGAACCCTGCGTGCTCTTTTTCGATGAAATCGACTCCATAGCTACAAAACGCATTAATTATGGCGGAGATAACGCAACGTCAGATCGTATTCTCACACAAATACTGACAGAAATGGATGGAATAAATCTGAATAACAACATATTTTTCTTGGGCGCCACTAATCGACCGGAAGTCATCGACTCCGCCATTCTAAGACCTGGACGTTTAGATCAAGTAATTTATGTTCCATTGCCCGATCAGTCAGCCAGGAAGAGCATTTTGACAGCTGCTCTGAGACGATGCCCACTAGCAAACGATGTCGATTTGGACCCCATCTCTAGGAACACGGATGGATTAAGTGGTGCAGATTTAAGTCAAGTTTGCAAAAAAGCTTGTAAATTAGCTTTAAAAGAGAATATTGAAAATTCAGAAACAGGTGAAGATTTCATTGCCGAGATTGAAATGCGTCACTTCCAAGAAGCAATCAAACAAACACGACCTTCAGTCAATAGTGAGGATCTTCACAGATTTGAAGAATTTCTCTACAAATTTAGAAATCATAAAGATTATTGCGTTTAGATCTAATAGATTGATATTCGTTATGGATAAAAATTTGAGTGATTAAAATCTTTACTCTATTTTTATTTACTTTTTATCACTTCAAATTAGAACGAGCAATTATTTTATTGTGACATCACCACAATGCCGGGCTACAATTTTTAATTAATTAAATTTAATTTAAAAGATATGTTCTCCATTTTAAATTGGTACTGTAGTGTTTCGCCCCTGTACATCATACTTTTCCTTTAACAATAGAGTCGTGCAGGTTATCTATTAACTGCTTTCAGGGGAAAAGTTTGAATTAAAATAACGTAACTTCCTGATTGCATCGGAAGTTTATATATAGTTAATCGGTGCCTCCTGTTCCTATTAACTGTATATGGTCTCGGAATACATTTATCTAACTCCGTTCTCGAGATTAATGAAAGACGGGCAATCGGACGGACGACAGTGGGAATTGATAGGTCTACAACTTTTTCAAATTTCAGCCCAATAAAAGTTTGATTGAAAAGGATCGTTTATTAATGACCGAGATGTTTCCTGCGTAAACTTGCTTTTCTACAGATTCCGACATTAGGGTTCGATTCGAGTTCAGGTCGAATCTGGATCCCAGAAAACTTTGTAGGCGATTTAATAAAGATACACCGGGTCTTATCGACAATTCTTATGGTTTAACCATATTTCTTTTTGCTTTGTATGAAGTACATTTACCTTCCCATAAATGAAGATGATGCACTTATTTTATTCAAGTTTTTTTTTTTTTTTAAAGTTCTTGTAATTATTTTAAAAGTTTATTGAATTGAATTAAAACTGATAGGGAATTCTTGAAAGATCTTAAATTCATTTTTTCCTGCATTAAGCAATGCATTGATATGAACCACTAATAGACAATGGTCTTAATAATTATCGTTTATATAATTATAATAATTATTTAGAATGTGGTTCTTATTTAATGCTGATATTAAAATGACAATAATAAAGCTTCAAGTTATATTTTTAACTAGCAGATGAGCCTGACGTTTCCCGGGCAAAAAACACCACCACCGAAGATTAAGATTGGAAGTACAAAATAATCCAATAGATTATCTCGTACTTCTAACCCTTCTATTATAATACATTATAGTATTTGATTAACTGTATATAACTACAAGGGTTATCTTACGTAAGGGTTTATCACACCAAGTAAACAATGTAACAGATCTTAAAAATGATTTAAATTGTGTACAGTAGAGGAATAAAGAATTTTTAAAATGTGGGCAATTGGTATGATAAACCCTTAACTATGTGACCGTAGGGTCGGTGTCTCTTTGACACCACGACAGGATGTGACACCACCGAATCTCGCAGGATTCGGAAGTTGCGACTTTACGCTGTAGCGGGTGAGCGGTTGGATTTGGAGTAGAGGTGAGGAGAGAGACGAGGAAGTGATTCACTCGGATTCCATATTAATTAACAATAATAATTTTAATTATAACAAAAGAAAATACAGATATACTCAATATCAAGCATGACTAACGTTCCCCTTAATTATTTCTAGCCCGTTCAAGAGAGAGTTTACAAACGAATCGCGTGTTGATAAATACCTTGTAACCAGTGGCATGCCGTGACATTTGATGATAGGGAAGCTGTGTTTCTGTAAGAAGCCGACTTCCAGGGCAATCAGTCAATTGTGCGTCAGTGATGGTCTAGGGTCCATTCGTATCGTTTATTCGATAAGCCAGTAAAAACCGTAGACTTCTCTAAATGCATTTTTAATATCACAATTACATTCCGAATCGCTAGCCACGATATAAGGGCTACAATTAAAAATAATAAAAACTTACTCGGTGAAATAAAATGTGGTGGATGTACCGGTACATACTTGGTAGAAAATATTCTTCAATTGTATGAATATACTGTACTTTTAAAGAAAATTATAATTAATCAATCGAATATTTCAACTATAATCGTGATTTGGTTGCTTGCTGTCTAAAATATCTACAGTAAAATAGGGTAACTTTCGTTAGTTTGAAGTTGGATAACTCGAATTAAGTATATTGTATTGTCATTATTTCTAGACATTAGTTACATTAAACGCATTCGATATTTTCAAACTCAGATAATTTGAAAAAAAAGAAGTAAATTGCACAAATAATGGTTATTATATATAAGTACTGTACAGCAGTCCATATTATCATTTCAGCTCAGTAAAAGGTATCAGTAACAGCTTGTGCAAGTGCATACCATATTTACCGTCTCAGTATGTAAAAAATTCCACTTTAATTCTTGTGAAAAAAATTAGTACAGTACATAATTAAATATTCATAAAAATTTTGAAACGATAAAAAATGCTGTAAGTCTGTCTTTAAATCTTCTCACAAATAGATTATAACAGTTTAAATATGTTTTATAGTTTTTAAATATATGTTCTATAGGCTGTATATTTTGATCTACTTTGTAATGAACACGGCACTATTTTCCTTTGCACGTGTAATGAACATAACATCCATTCCTATTCCAGGAAATACTATAATAAAGTTAATTTTATTTATTATGATTAATAATATAAAAGTTATTTTTTAATAAAATCTCATAATACGGAAAAAGTTACGCAACTCGTTGCTGGATTTTTTTTTCAAACTTCATATTTAGTTCATCTTTAAATTTAGTTTCAACGAAAAACAAAAACGAATATTTATAATAATACATCGTGTTATCATATATTATTGTTGTGTATTATTATATTATATTATATTTTTTATATCATATAGTAAATATATTTAAAATTTTAAACATGTTTGAGACAATTAGATCGATATTCGATATTTTTATATTTCTTCGAACGTCGCCGATTAATAAAAAAATCATTCTTGTTTCGGAGAAGTTTCCGAACGGACGCCTGGAGCGTCGCTCTCGCTTCCAACAAAATTTTAATTTCAATTACGGACACCAGGTGATGTGTTAATAGAATGAATTTCGGAAGAGTCGTAGCAGACGACGAAGAGTTTGTTTATTTCAAAGTAATTCGCAAATCTTTTCTTCGTCTCTACTCGAATACATTAAATAATGTTTCGTAAAACCTTTCAGGTAAATAATAAATTAAATTTATTAACGTGTTCGTTAAAAAAAAATCGTCAGTAATCGCTTCCAAGTATCGATTTTTAGGGTGTGCTGCCCTTTTAAAAAATTTAGATTTAATTACCACCACGGGGCGCAATAGTCTATGTAACTTAAGCCCCAAGACAAGACTAGATTTAGTTCCATGTCGTGTGAAATTAAATTAATCATATTCATGATTTTTTTTTTATATTCATATGTCTAATGTAAGAATAAAAAAATAATATATGGTAATTTGAGCTAAAAAAAAGCATATTAACAGGTATCTTCATCAATTAACTTCTCATCACTTTATTCTACACACAAACACCTCAATTATATTTATGTTACAAGAATATAATTCAAAGTTTTATTGTATGCAAGTTATAAAGCTAAAAAAAAAAAATACAGATAAGAGCTTATTTTGCATTAAACTTTATATAATAACTTACATAATTCATTCAAGAATGCAAAATTGATTGATTTAAAATTCTTTATTGATGTGCAAGTGACGTGCGACTCTGTATGTCTATAAATATGTATTGATTTTTGAAGCTGTATTTTTAAACTGTTGGAAAAATACTTTATGTAGCGTTCTCTCATCCGTCGAATGTATTTAAATTGATTTTTTATTCCATTAAACTTTCTGTAAAATAAAAGTTTATAAATATGATTAGATAATGGCATTAATTTTATTCTTGGATATCTATCTAAATAAATAAAGTAAATAAAATTTACTGCATTTTTATTTTAGTGAATCGGGAAATCCAATATTTTCCAACACAAATTTTTTGAAGAGCCACGGCAATACAAACTCTCTTGGAAAGTCATACATTTTGCAGAATGGGTCAGGTCAGTACTGATACGTTTTATCATTGGTGTCAAAACTGTTGAATGTATGCTTATTACTGATCCCAAAATTTCAATTATTTTATGTTGGCATTTAACAAAAATAGTTTTTATGTAAAAATGTATTTTAAACACATTATTGTCGTCGTAATTGTTGCCATTATAAAGCATCATTAACATCTTATGAGAAAACAAAGAGTTTGGTTGAGATATGGAACTTAAAGAACTTCAAAAAGAAATATTTATATGTACTGGTATATATAACTACAAACAAATCTGATCTACAAAAGTTACCTAAAATCAAAAGCCAGATTTGATCAGACTATCCTTTAGTTAGTTGTTATATTAATGTATAGAGACAAATTAATTTGGATTAAAAGTGAGCAGGCAAAAAAATACTTGTATAGGTCTGTTAAATTCCATTTACAATATTAAATGGAAAATTCAAGGAGCTGCAAAATGAGTTAGTGCATAGTGCCTACAGATGTGTTAATTCAGCACTGATTGTTGTTGTTATATCAATAAACTATTCCAATAAGAAAAACTGTTTTTCATCAGAAATCTGTTGTAGCCTGCAACAGAATACTTATTTAAATTTTTTACAAACTACTTAATGGCTTATAGATTAATATGTGGTGGTGCATAACTGTTTTTGGTTAAGAGGAATTTAGTTAATTTCATTAATGGATGAGTCTCTAAGCTGGCATTGTAAGCTTTGGATTAATTATTTCAACAGTACCATAAATTGCAAGTTTTTTTAAAATTGAGATATGTAGAAAATGAGAAAGGAAAACATTTCAACACCTTAATGATGATGATATATTTTATTTCAATTAATCTTACATTTTATTAAGCTATCTAAAGATATTTATTTCTTTATACAATATGTAATATGATTTTATAAGTTAATAAGATAAATAGATTTAAGATTACATATTATTCTATTACTTCATTTATATTTCAGTTTATAAATATATTATTAAGTGATTTATGAATCTTTTATTTATTTAAATTCATTTTAATCTTTTCAATTTATAGTTTAAATTTTTAATCAAAGCTTATAGACCAGTCAATTTCATATATTTATGTATGTTCAGACTAAAAGATGACTTGAGTAAAAATGTATATAATCTTCAGATTATATTTGCTATAAGTAAATGATAAAAAGGAAAAGAATTACATTAAAACATTGAAATTACTATTTAAGAAATTTTATTAAAAATTGTAGTAGCTGTTCTATTTTTCATCAACTGGATTTGGTATCATTATTAATTTGATCTTTTTAAAAAGCTGCAGACTTCTAAAAAACTTTAAAAACTTATTCAACTTCTCTGACTCAACTTCTTGCCAGTAAAATTTAAATTTGTTTAAAAGCTTACAACTATTTGGTAATATAGTTATCCTAATTACCATAAACATAAATCAGTCATTTAATTTGATTAGAGGATAAATAAAGATGTAAAGATCTTGCAGCAGAAATTACAAATTTAATTATATTAAAATTTCTCTTCAATACCATTATATATATATTAAAAATGTTAAAAAAATTATTAATATTTACAGAATGGTGACTATGTTGAAGTATTTAATATCCAAAGAAAGGAGTGTACAGAAAATTGGAAACTGTCTTCACCTTATATTAAAAAGGTTTGATTTTAATTTAAATTAATATAGTGAAATATAATAACAATAATTAAAGAAATTTCACATTTGAAAGAATTAATATTTATATATTTTTTGTGAATATACATTCATTTTCAATTTTTTTTAATAAATTTACTAGTTTCATTCAACTTTTTAAATTTTATATTAATTTTGCATTGGTTTTTCATCCTGAATTTAGTTTTTTCCTACTACTACAAATAATTTAATGCTGAATTTAATAGAGATCACTTAAGAAGTAATTTGTTTTATCTCTTACTCTGTCATATAAATTTTTTCCATCTTATAATTTTGTCAATATATTATTGTAGTAATGTTATTCTTCAAACTATTGAACATGTATAAATAAAGAGGTAAAATGAAGAAAATATTTAATTCAATGTTGTTGATAAAATGTATTCTTTCTTGACAGCAACATTACTAGTTGAAGATATATTGGAAATTATACAGTACTGGTGAGGTTAAGTTACACTGTATGAAAAATAAAATATTTCAAAAAATAGATAATTGACCAAGAATCAAATTATTTTGTGTGAGGAATAAACTTAAATGAGTTTTGAGGTGTCATTTTTTTTTTTAAATCTGAATAAATATTTTGTAGCTGATATGAATTTATCAACATCAACATCATCAACATTTTATTGTCTATTGGGAATTACTTCCCTATTACAAGGGGTTGTAGAAACATGTATCCATATTTATTTTTAATAAAACTATACATTTTCTTTAATTTTTTAGTTTGCATTTATTTCTCGCGTACATATGCACATATTCTTTAATTTAATTTGTTTTGTTNATGTGCTAAGTATGTTAAATTATTATTTTCTATCTGAAAAAATAAGTCAAATATTAAAATCATTGATAAAAGCATTGATAAATATATCACATTAAGCTTATAATGCTTTGCAGTTATTTTGTAACCTATCACAAATGTTTTTGGTCCACCCTAGGACCTTCTTCAGGTGGAGTTCTAGAGAAAACCTTTCCTGGTGTGATTTCCATTCTATTCTGTTTCCAATGTGTTCTAATTCTTTTTTTGAATTTCCTTTTTAAATTTTAAATTCCTAATGATGTGTGCTTGTGTTGGCTGTTATAATGCCGGCTTTGTTTCAACTGTCAGTATATAGCTGCTTTTTAACTTTGTATTTTAATTCTTTTTTCTGTCTTCTCTTTCAGTCTAAATTCGGTTAGTCCTAATTGTAAGTTAGATTAGGGACTCTTAGCTCTTAGCTTGGTTTCCAATTAGGATATGATAGGTTAGGTTAAATTAGATTAGGGTTTGTTAGCTTTAGTCCTCTGGTTAGGTTCGTCCTAGGTTATGGTAGGTTAGTTTAGTTAGTAAATAAGTTAATGTTTAAAAAAAAATAAAATAAAAAATAAATAAATAAATAAAAAATAAAACAATAATAATAAAACCAAAAAAAAAATTTGGGATCTTGCCCATTTTCTATGCCAGTCCATTCATCTCATCTAGTTTGTCATTGTGTTCGTTTCCTTTTCACACTGTCTGTCTAGCTGTTAAGTAGTATTAAGATTCGTGATCACATTCAGTTTTATTAGTATTAAGTAGATATAAGTCTTCCTACTAGCAGCCACTTGGCACTAACTTTTACACTTAGCTATTTGTGGTGTCACTCAATTATTGGTGTTCACTATACTCAGGTTTACTTTTAGACCCTTTGGGGGACTACAGCCTTGCAGCCTAAAACTGCATGACAACATCAAATATAGAGAGTACTGTAGCCATATGTATGCTGTTCAGAGGAATCCTACCTTTTTCTACTGTCTATCTCCTCTCCCTCCTTCCCCTCTCCTTTCCCTTACCCTTTTTTTCGCTGGCTAAACACTTTGTGTATGGCCAATGTCTTGTATGTATGTATGTATGTATGTATGTATGTATGTATATATATGTACTGTATGTATGTATGTATGTGTGTTATAATGCTGGATCATACATAACCTGCCACACCTACGAACTCCATCTGAAGAAGGTCCTAGGGTGGACCAAAAATATTTGTGATACATTACAAAATAACTGCAAAGCATTATAAGGTTAGTGTGATATATAAATCAAATATTAGTAATTTTATAACTATTTGGAATTTCCAATGATGGTCTTATGAAAAGTTGAAAATGTTGAAATTTATTAAAATAATCTGAATATCTTTTAGTAGATTATTTGAATTGAAATAAAGAATATGTAGTCAATTATTTTGATTAATAATAAATAACTTACTATTTTTAATTAAAAAATTATTATAACAAGTTTATCGTACAGTATTATACAGTGGGTGATCAGTTAACAAACAGTTCAGACTATAAACAAATCGGATAATGAACACTTTTGCGAAAGATTTTTATGTTTGGACAATGAATACCTCACAGAACAAACACAAGAAGAAGTGACATAAAATAATGAATACCAATTGGTCTTTCCTTGTCTTCAGACAATAATTCAAAACTTCTCAAACCATGGGAGACATCGACATTCAACCCAGTATATACTGATTGGATAGTATTCCTCCGAACTTTGAAACTCTCCCTTGTAATTCCAGCCTTTTATTTTTCTGACACAAACAATTTTTTTTATAGTATTCAAGAGACTGTCAGGTGGTCACTCATTATGTTTTGCGTCAGTTTTTATTTTTGAAAGGTTAGAGTATAATAGCAAAGGTAGAGAGTGAGCAGATGTCTGATGTTGCTGGGCAGTATGGCTTGAACAGGTGTTCAATGTTATCTAAGAAAGATACAGTATAATCAAGAAGACTCAAGCAGCTAAAGGAGTAACAAAAAATCACATCTGAGAAATAAAGAACATTGAAGAGCTCAAAATGGAACCTGAAACGGATCTGATGACAGAAGAACGCCAAGAACTTGAATGAAGAACATAAAGCAACTTGGTGAGATATGTTTTGCGGCGACAAATCACGGACTGGTGAGATGGCGCCACTCCTCTACGAGTTTCCCGGGAATCCCGGATAGAAAAACGGGAACTGGGTTTTTCCCAGAGAGAGAATTCTGGGTATTGTTGCTTCTTCTTCTTGTCGGGTGATCGCTGCCATGAGCACGTGTAGCTCTCTTTCAAGTGTACTCGAGGATTGTTGTAAATAAATGTTGTTTTAGTTTAAAACGTGGTCGTGGACTTAACTAATTCACGTTTACAGCCTTCTGATAAAGACAGTCTTTGTGGAGATGTAAATGGATGGAAAAAGACGGCCAGATTTCGTCTAACCGATGGTGGCCATCCATTACCTCCAGTTTCTTTCTGAAAAAGAGGATTAATGCTATATCTGCTGTTAAAGATCTTTTGAAGAAGTGGGAGAATGTCAGAACAATGGTCTTAGAATGGCATCCAAACCAGGTTGAGATTAATAGGTTTGGGGATCTCTACAATTACAATGCTATTAATTACTTCTGAAAAATAATCTGGCTAATGTCAATTGCTTTTCTCTCTTCTTCAGGATGAAAAATCCTGAAGAAGAGAGAAAAGCAATCGACATTAAACAGATTCTTTAACCCTCACAAACAGAAAAAACATGACTAATAAAAATTCAAGACTGTGTATATATGTATTTTTATTATTATTACATATAAATAAATGTAGTAAGAAAGTATATATATTTTTATTTTTTGGAGTTTCCAGAACGAATTAATCAAATCCCCATAAAAACCTATGGTAAATTGATAATCGGTTAATGAACAATTCGGATAGCAAACAAAGTCTTGGAACAGATTATGTTCTTTAACCAATCACCCACTGTATATTATAGATAAGAAACAATAAATATAAAGGCAAAATGAAATGAAATTTTAGATAATTTCAATTAAAATGGCTGATGGTATTTTTTAAAAAATTAAAAATTTGAAGAAACTAAGCTGTCTTCCCTTCTGTCACATCCAATCACCAGAAACAAAAACAGTCTTTCTTTGCAGAGATGACCTTTTATTAGAGGCTACACCTCTGCAAAATTATGTAAAACAGTTAACATGTTCACTGATGATAAGCAAATTAAAAAATATATATGTATATAATTTTAATTAAAATGGCTGACACTATTTGAATATGATGGAAAGAAAGACAACAGTTTCTTCAGATTTTTAATTTTTTGAAATTTTAGAGTTTGTAAATTGACTTGTTATTAATTATCATATTTATAAAAGACATTCACTATCAGTAAAAACAGTATTAAAAATAATTTAGTGTAAAATTATAACACATTTTTTAATAAATGCTTTTTTTAGTCCATTTAATAAGTATTTCTTTCTAATTATTGATATTTTTAAATTTAGTTTTAAGAGATATTATGAATAAATCAATAAGATTTAATTTACTGTATTTTAATGTATGTAATCCATCATGGTGTAGACTTTGCAGAAACAAAAATAAAACCTCTTTGCAGAACCTGTCCCACACGGACAGGTCAAGGGTCCTATACCTATGCCTATGAAATAATAGCTGCCTCCTTAGGTATTTTGAAATCAGCATATAATCCTTACTCATTTCAAACTGTCTTTTAAATGCTGTTAATCCATGAATTATATGCACAAAAATATGGTAATTCTAATTTTATAGAAATAATTACAAATTATAATGCATTTATCATGTTTTTTTAGTTGTATAAAAATAATGACAATAAGATGATAAAAAAGAAAAAATATTTCTTTTGTTATTTTATTGCTTTTTGCAAATAACCGAAAGTTTATTTACTCATTGAAAATGTTTGGATTTATAAAATAATACTCATATATAATATAAAAATTTCAATGGAATGTGCAGAAAAAAGTTTTTATTATATCATAAATGATAAGCTTTTATAGATGTCAAATTGTTTCTCATCAACAAGTCAAAAACAATGCTAAATAAATTATAGAAGTTGTTGATTAGCTGGGATTAAATTATTTGAATTCAAATATCTCATCATCAGATCAAATATCTATTTTAAAAAATAAGAAATGTAAAATGGATTTGAAACAAAGAGTGCTTT